GTGAGGGAGAGAGAGAGAGAGAGAGAGAGAGAGAGAGAGAGAGTGAGTGAGTGAGTGAGTAAGAGAGAGAGTGAGTGAGTGAGTGAGTGAGTGAGTAAGAGAGAGAGTGAGTGAGTGAATGAGTGAATGGCTGAGTGAAAGAGAGAGAGTGAGTGAGTGAGTGAGTGAGTAAGTAAGTAAGAGAGAGAGAGAGAGAGAGAGAGAGAGAGAGAGAGAGAGAGAGAGAGAGTGAGTGAGTGAGTAAGAGAGAGAGAGTGAGAGTGAGTGAGTGAGTAAGAGAGAGAGAGAGAGAGAGTGAGTGAGTGAGTGAGTGAGTGAGTGAATGAATGAGTGAGAGTGAGTGAGAGAGAGAGTGTGAGTGAGTGAGTGAGTGATTGAATGAGTGAGAGAGTGAGTGAGTGGGTGAGAGAGTGAGTGTGAGTGAGAGAGAGAGAGAGAGAGTGAGAGAGAGAGAGAGAGAGAGAGTGAGTAAGTGAGTGAATGAATGAGTGAGAGAGTTAATGAGTGAATGAGTAAGAGAGTAAGTGAGTGAGGGAGTTAGTGAGAGAGAGAAATTGAATGAGTGAGATTTTTTTTTTTTTTTTTTATGTGTTTATTGAGACAAAAGCATACATATCAAAAGGTTGAGGTATATCAGCAGATTGGATTATATACAACACTTGAAATACAAAAATGCAAGTATTCAGAGAGACAGAAAGACAGACAGAACAGACAGACAGGCAGACACACAGACAGACAGAGAAAGTGAACCAAGGTCTCTTTATATGATGTTCCACAAAATTATTGGTAAACTAAGTATATACTTGAATTTATAAAATATGGTACCCTTGATATTACATTTTTTTCTATTCTAGTAAGTACCTGCAGACTATCACGAGAAACTAGGTGCTCTCATGCACTTTCCGAGAAAGGTGGACTTTAAAGAGATAAAAGAGACATTTTCTGTAGTTGTTAGGAAAAGATCTCGCTTTCTTTTTGAAGAGTTCGAGGCAGTCAAAAATGAAGCTGAATAAACATTTTGTATTAAGTGTGAAGAGAAGCGCAGTGCCTGAAAACAGACCTTTCTTTTTCATATATCAAACATCTTATTATATGTAAAGTATTCATGGCATTCTTTGCAAATACGTATGAGTTTTTCATGAACGGAGGAAACATTTCTCTGTCAAAGGATATTTTTTTTTAATCAAAATTTGAAAGTTATTCCAACAACTTATTGCTAATAATTTTCTCTTTATTATTAATGGGAGTTAATGAGGATAGTTGCCAGATTCACAATTGAGCTTCCGCAGGGGAATGTGTTTTTGCATTTTATAACATTGGTTGCATGTAAATGGAAGAAAAAAGTAAAGTAAGTTTATTTTATTTCTACAAGAATAAAGAGTCATTCATATTACATTTGCTTCATGTCTTCTACTAAATTTTAAAGATGCTAATCAACATCGATAAAGGTGAAAAATAAAATCAAAAGCATATATATATCTATGCATTTTTGTACCACCAGAAGACAAAGCCAGGAAAAAGTATTATTATGTCAGTAATATTAGGGGAAAATTTCTGTTTAACTTCACCCACTAGGTCATCTGTACCCCAACTAATGATATTCAGTTCCTATTTGAGATTTTGAATGACCATCAGATAGAATTTTATTGTTAACAGTGATGCTGAAAGAAACTACAGATAACAGATAATAATAGTAGTAGTAGTAGTGATGAGGATGATGAAGGTAATGGTAATGATAATAATAATGAGGGTAATGATGACACTAATGATATTAATGATAATGGTAATAATGATAATGATGATGATGATAATAATAACAAATAACAACAAGACAACAATAACAATAGTAATAAAATTAGTAATAATAATGATAATAATATCTCCATTAGTTTTTTATTATTTATGTCATTAGTAGTAGTAGTATGACTACTTTTATTATCATAATGGGCTCACACTACTTTGAAACTTGGTCCTCCCAAACTTTCAAAATGCTCATCTTCAGAGGAATTTGCAATAACTTCCTTGGGTCGTGACATGAACTCTGACTTCGTTTTAATTGAGAGTCTGATTGCATTACCTCATGTTCTTCACTCTTTTTCTCCTGAAGGGTTTCAGACATGTTCCCTGTTCCTTGCCTTGTACTCAACCAGCAGTGATAAAATAGGGAAAAACTGTAGATGTTAGCTCTGTTGCTTTAGGTCCCTCTTCCTCTGGTTCTTAGATTGCTAATATTGAAGCTTTTCTTGCTGAAATGGCAGCACGGTACTGTTTCTGAACTAATAATGGAGTGGAAGCTGTTAAGCTCTACTAACCATTACATCTAGTAGTTATCATCTTTGTTTCTTTCTTCTTCTTCTTCTTCTTACTATTATTATTATTATTATTATTATTATTATTATTATTATTCCTATTCTTTTTCTTTTCTTTTTTAAGGGAGTAAGATTGTTGTGACAAATTAGCAATTGATGGAGTAAAACAATATGACCAGCAATATTGCCACAACCAATCCAGGAACCACTGCTACCATAACCATGTCTCCCTGCACCATAATGACCATCTTAAGTTTGTACAAAAGTATTATAGTAAAGCAGTAATTATATGGCATTGGTGATATTATTTCCAACACTACGACAAACATCACAACACCAAAAACGAAGCCACCAACAGATAGTAGGATCATTAGTTTCTGCCTGGTGATTTTGAATCAGTGTTTCAAATTTAAGTTTATTATGGTAGCTGATTTTATATTTTATATTCTCGTGGCATAAAAATTCCTTTAGACTGATGTTCATATACGTGTCCCCAACCACTTCCACTTCCCATTCCATTTTCACTTCCTTGTCCCCTTCTCCCTTTTCTCCTTGTTCTCTTCTTGCACTTTCAACTCCAATGCCCTCTTGATGCAGTATTATGAAGCATTCCATTTTTTGTGTGTGTGCTCGTTGGCTCAGTAGACCAAGGAGCCAGAGTATTGCCCTGGTGCTCAGGAGTTCGAGGCTCTCAGGTGCTGTGACTGATTGGGACCCACTCTCCCTGACAGACAGGGAAGTCATGATGACCTGTGGAGCCAATAGGTCGAGGTTGTGTGTTTTTTTTAACATGGACTCACCTTATTTATACGTTAATGTTCTTCCAAACACAAACAACCAGCCACCACCAAATGTACAAACAACTTCAACACCACTACCATAACCTTTCTACATATATCTCCATCATCCCTATTACTGTTGCTGCTGTTGTGTGTTCTTGACCTTCTGCTACATTTAACCCATTGCCGCCTGGGATGGCATGTACGTACATGCCATGCCCGCTGTGAGTGAACTTGTTCGATTGTTTTTACACATAGATGGCTACACTTGTACTAAGTATCCAATGAGCCAATTACGAGTACTGCCTGTCTCGCCCGTTCACCCTTTTCAACGATTTACGAAAATATTTAACGTTATCCTAATTTGCTGTTAAAAATAACACCATCTATATTTATAGCACTAGTAAAAATACGTTTTTTCCCGCCATTTTAAGGAAAGGTGAAATCAGAACTAGCAGAGCCATCTATGGACAGAGATATTTCACAAAAATATAAAAAATGAGTACTACATTTCCCCCATTTTTTTTTCATTTGCCCCGGCGGCAATGGGTTAAATTAAAATATAACTAATCAAACTGATTTATGTTTCTATTACATGTAGAATTCCTGAGTAATTGTTCTATTTATCAGTAGTCATACTCGGGAAACTGACAGCTACCTAGTGATTGCTTGCAATATAACCTTTTTTCTATTACCATTTTATTATTATCCTGCTAAGGAAATATACCTTGATGTGGTGAGTAGGCATGCATGTTACTATTTTAACAGCCATACTAGATAGGTTCTAGGAGTGCTAGTTTTCCAACTAAATTGTATATATAATCAAATTGCTTCTCTTGTGTATAACCTCTGAAGAAGCATTACAGCACAAAACTCATTGCTTCAGGGCACACGTATATAGCAGTGTTATTTTGTAATCTTGTTTGCACTCAATGTAGATAGCTCAACAGGTGCTCAGCTACCTAGGCACCATTTAGTAGGCCTATGTGTCCTCACTTGATTACCCATTCAGTTCCCTGGAAAAATATTTTCTAATGCTTTTGATATCGATGTTGTTGTTTGTTATTGACAGTCATGATTATTTTAATATTATGAGCAATGCTAATAGCATTAAAAAGGGTAAATAGGAGAGACAAGTAGGACTAGATACAGACTCCCTTGCGACTAAACACTTGTGGAGTCATCTATGCATAAATACAATTAACTCATTGCCAACGGGCATGCCATGCTATGCCCACTGTGAGCTTACTTGTTTAGTTGTTTTTACACATAGATGGCTACACTTGTACTAAGTCACCAATGAGCCAATTACAAGTACTGCCTGTCTTGCCTGTTCACCCTTTTCTTTAATTTTCAAAAATATTTTACATTATCTTACTTTGCTATTAGTAATGTTTATAATATTATAGTAATTTAAAAGGAAAGGTGAAATCAAGTAAGGTAGAGCCATCTATGTGTAGAGACATTTCAAAAATATATATATATAAAAAATGAGCACAGCTTTTTATTTTTTTATTATTGATTTTTCCCGGCGGCAATGGGTTAATCATTTAAAATCACGGTTAGATGTATATTGCAGTCACAAAGGTGGCGAAGCTATGCTACTGCTATCAATATTTCTTCTGCTACTAAAAATGATAATAATGATAATAATAAGTAATGATAAGAACTTACCCTGTGCTTCATTATTTTTGGAAATTTTGCCACTTCAGCACCTGTCTTGAAAAGTGAAGTAATAAGGTAATCCCTTGTATTATTGATGATTTATATATATATATATATATATATATATATATATATATATATATATATATATATATATATATATATATATATATATATATATATATATATACACATATATTGACATAAAGGAGTTCACAAGATTCATGGTAGGTACAAGGAAATATTCGACTATATGGACTAGTGGTTCTCAACCTTTACAGCCTGGCGACATGCTAAAAATAACCCCCAGACTTCTGTGACCCCAGCATTTTAGTACAATGTGTTTTACATATTTAGTTATCATATTCCATTGAAAATGTGTAAACTACTGTTAATTACTGTATAAACATAATTATATAATCAATAGGAAACTGGACAGCTATCACCAACTATATTAGAGGGGACAGGTGAGAGCTTGCCCTTGTTTCCTCATTATTATTATTATTGTTATTATTATTATTATTATTATTATTATTATTATTATTATTATTATTATTATTATTATTATTATTATTATTATTATTATTATTATTATTGTTGTTGTTATTGTTATTATTATTATAATTATTATTATTATTATTATTATTATTATTATTATTATTATTGATATTAACCCATTCGCGCCGGGTAAAAATGAACAAAAAATGGGGAAATGCTGTGCTCATTTTTTATGTTTTTTAATGAAATTTCTCTACACTAGATGGCTCTGCTTTACCGGATTTCATTTGGCGGGAAAATGTATTTTTACTAGTGCTATGAATATCGATGGTTATTTTTATTATAAACATCATAATTACTATAATGTTATAAACATTAGTAACAGCAAAATAAGATAACGCAAAATAATTTCGTAAATTAAAGAAAAGGGTAAACAGACGAGACAGGCAGTACAAGTGCAAGTGGAGCCATCTATGTGTGTGAACAATCAAACAAGTAAACTCACAGTGGGCCCTTCACGTATACGTGATGCCCGGCGCGAATGGGTTAACTTTATTTTCACTATTAAAGTAAATATTTATCAAACTAGTCATGTTTTTGGCCAGAAACTAATATTCCAGACTAAAGTTAGGAGTAAATTAACTCACTGCTGCCATGAACATAGTTTTGTTTTATGAATTTTGTGTCCACATCGATTGCTAAACATGTGCTCAAACACCAGAGTCAATTAGTCGACCTTGTGACCTCAACTGATTTCACCTGTGCCTGAGTTTTCGGGAAAATTATTCATTCTAACAATATTAATATCATACTGTTATTATTATTGACATTACAATTATAATTTTATTGACAATACTAATAGCACTCCCCCCATCCCTGAAAAAAGAGTAAACAGGTGAGATAGGTAGGGCTAGTAACTGACTCTGGTGATTCAGCACTTGCAGCCATCTATGAGGAAACAATTAGTAAAACTATAATCACAGTAGAAATGGCATGTATGTACATGCTATTCCTGGCAAGAGTGGGTTAACAGGCAAAAATTATACATCAGTGAAATATCATGTGACATATTTGGAGTCATAGTGCAGAAGTTGAGAACCAGTGATATAGACTGGTATGTAATAATTTATGTGTAGCAATACAGACTTGTAGTATCTTTTCAGATGCAAGAGTGAAATATGAACAGTAAACACACAGTCTTAAAGAAAGCAGATGGCTTCATTTGCTGGCTGCCCGAAAAAGGATTTTACTCCCTTGTCCTCAGTCTTCAAGACTATAAGCCTTTCAACAAGCTGTCAAGAACTGTCCACTTTCATGTGTTCCTGGATATTCAAAAATTAGGGAAATTCTCTCCAAGAAAAAATCACATTTTGGTTCATTCCCATTTGGGCTCTCGTTACCCTTCATGTGAGGCAATTTGGTTTGGAGCCCACGACCCGCACGAGGAGACGAGCGTCTACGGGAATGCAAGCTTCATAGTTGACATGAGGGAGTTTATGCAAGAGTATGTGAGGAATTGCAATATTTATTTTGTGGAGGTGTTGGACTTTAAGACTGCTAATGCATCCCGAATTCTGATAACACACAAAGAGTATGCCCTTCCCTGCTATGACCCTCTGCAATATGGTGGTCCTTGGTACATTGATCCTAGTGGTAAACACTATTATCTAAAGAATGCACGGAGATACAATGGATTAAGTAACAAAAGTGGACACAAGTTGGAGTTCCTGCTGGAGTTAACTGAAGAAGAGGGCGAGCGATTATATCACAAAGCCGTGCCCCAGCCAGTTGGTCATCAGGAGGCAAACTCTGGCAAACCATACAGTTGTAAAGATCATGGGCCAAGCAAGACATGTCCATCACCTTGGAGTAAGAGAGAAGCTCAAGAAAGAATAAGCAAAGAACTTGAGACTCTTACAGGAAATGCAAATAGAAGCCTGAAATTTTAGATAAGAAGGGTGTGATTAATTTCAAAGACGTACTGGCTCTGTACACATAGCAAACAATTACTGCACTCTGAAAGAGCAGCAGTAGCAGGATTGACATACAGACAAAAAAAATTTAATTCTTCTTTGTCTTTTTTCTTTTTAATGTAATATGATAATTAAAGAATTAAAATGTTTATTGTGGCTAAAGTTATTAATTTGCTTTTAGCTTGAATTAATATAATTTTTAAGGCTGCTTTTTCATTAGTGTAATTTTTAATCCTGAGAGACAATTCTCTTTTATATCACAAAAGGAGTAATTGA